GATGCGGTTCATGTCAGGAGATTGGCTTGGCCAGGGCAACTTCTGGATACCATTTTCTTCCTGCCACTTTTGGGTGTTTCTAGCAGTGTGACACGGTGCTCAATCCGTTGAACAGATTTCGGGCTCATCCCGCCAAATTTGGCCACTTCTGCAGTCATTAGTCTGGGATCCATTTCGATGCTCCTCTTGACAGCCCTTTTTGTCCTCTCCGATGGACCAGGACGACCCGGACGCTGCTCAGTTATTTCCTTGCCGTGCTTCCTGAACTGCACGATGTTCTGTTGACTGTCGAAAGCGGGATTCCCAAATTCTGCGAAATTTGCCGCTGACTTATTCCACCATCTGCTTGACCAACTATCCTTCCTCTAATAAAATCTGACAATTCGAGAGAACCTTGAGTTCTAGACATGTTGTAGCACAAGATAATTAGTGTGCGAACCATTTTTCATTTATATATTGCTCTGTGAACACAAATTAGTTAGCATAAATCAGTTAAATGACGAAAAATTAGGTGTCTATTTACTTATGACCACTCAGTGTACTCATTTGGGAGATACTTGAGAATATAAATCCTTTGTGTTTTTTTATTCAAAACATCAGCTTCTGAGCCTAAAATAAGAAAAAAAGGAACAGTTTTATTGTATTCTGTATAATCTTTACGTACATGTAACTTGCCTCATGACTTTCACATCATGAGTAGTCACGTATAGATTTGTTTCAGATGTTACGGTGATTTCAGAGAGATCATCTTCGGGTTTAAAAATGCCAAGACCTGTGGTAAAGTGCTGTGTTTTCTCGGACTTTGTTGGAAGCATACGAGTTCCTATTTGAACAGCTAGGATGATATACGTGTTACAGGAATGCTGATGTCTTCGCTAATTTGATCTTCCTTGCCAATTTGAAATCTTTATCTGAACTACATGGAAGCTTACCCTACTTGGTAGCTCAGCAAACAGGTTTTTAGGATTTTTTCAAATCATGTTTCCATTGGAAGTGTGTGTGTGTTCGTTTGGTTTTCTAGCTCACTTCCTACTGAATACTTTGCCACACACTATACAATTTTATTGTTCTTTCCATTATGTATCATTTGATGTGCTCTAAGGTGACTACTACTTTTATATTCTTTGCCACAATTTACACAACTGTACGGTTTCTCCCCAGTGTGTATCCTCTGATGTATTTTAAGATTGTAATTTCTTGTAAATTCTTTGTGGCACACTACACAACTGTATGGTTTCTCCCCAGTGTGTATTCTTTTGTGGGTTTTAAGATAACTATTTCGTCCAAATGTTTTACCACACTCTACACAACTATATGGTTTCTCGCCAGTATGTGTCCTCTGATGAGTTTTAAGGTGACTTCTTTTTCCATATTCTTTGCCACACACTACACAACTGAATGGTTTCTGTCCAGTGTGTATCCTCTCATGTTCTTGTAGGCAGGTATTTCTTAAAAATTCTTTTCCACACACAAAACAATTGTATGATTTCTCTCCAGTATGTACCTTTTCATGTCTGTTAAGATGACTTTTATACCCAAATTTCTTATCACAAACTAAACAAGTGTATGGTTTCTCCCCAGTATGTATTCTCTCGTGTTCTTTTAAATGACAACTGTCTTGAAATCCTTTATTGCACACTACACAACTGTATGGTTTCTCTCCAGTGTGCATTCTCACATGTGCTTGTAGATAGCCATTTGTATAAAAATGTTTTCCACATACTATACAGCTGTACGGTTTCTCACCAGTGTGCACCCTTTTATGTGTATTAAGATGACTTTTAGTTTTAAATTTTTTACCACAAACTATGCAACTGTATGGCTTCTCTCCAGTATGAACTCTCTCATGTTGTTTTAAATGACTATTGCTTCGAAATCCTTTATGACACACTACACAACTGTATGGTTTCTCCCCAGTATGTGTTCTCAGATGTATTTTTAAATTACTATTTGTTAAAAATTGTTTGCCACACACTACACAATTATATGGTTTTTCTCCTGTGTGTATCCTCAGGTGTATTTTTAAAGTACCCTGTGTTACAAACTGCTTGCTACACACTACACATCTGTGTTGTTTCTTCCCAGTGTTCGTACTCGCATTTAATTTTATATGGTGATTTCTTTCTGGTTCTTTGTCACACACAGTGTCACTGCATGATTCAGCTTCTCCATTGGGAATGTAATTTATCTTCAGAAATGTTTTATCAAACATATCAACACCACTTGGATTCCTCAGTTTGTAATTTTTTGACTTTGAAAAGAGAGTTTTTTGTGTTGTGATAGCATATCCAGGAAACTGCTTTCCCCTGTAGTTGTTCAAGAATGTATCTGGATGTACAAATAAAAGATGTATTTAAAGAAATATGGGAGTTAACAACGTTAAAAAGGTATATACACAACTGAAATCAAAACAGGTCTAATTTAAATGATTCGGTTATTTCACATCCCTGAATGAAGATTTTATTTTAAAGAAATGTCTGTAAATTAGATCAGTTGAGGACATAAAACAGATTGTTAAACAACAGTGGCTACAACATTACATATCTTTTAACCCTATGCATAAGGGCTCAGTCAATTTGACTAACATCTTGTAACCATCAGACAACCATGAAACTATATTGATTACAAAACATGAGGATTATTGGTTGATGGAATTTTGTATTCAAAAGTATGTGAAGCGAAGAGAGAGATGAAAATTACAGAATCAAAACTTCATTAATATTAATAGATAGTGTTTGTGTTAACTTTTTTTTGGCCATGCATTCCAAAACGAACATGTCAAAAAATTGGGGTCTCATATCTTGGGGTGGGTGGGGGAAGGGGTCCATTCAAATTTATTTCCACAAAATGAGGGGAAATTTATTAAGATAACCACTTTTCATCATGTAAACATTACTATAGGTATAAACTCCATGATCTATCAACTTGAAGTGGTCAATACAAAATAATCCTGAATTATAAATATCGGTCAAGTTTTCCACATACCCTATGACAAATTATGGTGGTCATCAATTTTGAAAGTTTTTTACATATTAAAAAGGTTGATATATGCAATTCTTTACTAATTTCATTTCAATTTAATGTACAAAGTCACACAAACTGTTTACCGATTTAATACCAACTAAAAGAAACCAATATTCTCAGCTATTTGCCTGCATGTGTGAAGCACCTGTGTAATGTCATGAATATTCAGTATTACAAACAGATACAAATGTGGACTAGATCTCATAAAAAACTAATAATAACTTACTTAGCACTTCAGAGACACAGACAGAAATGTGCCTAATAAAATTTTAAATTGACTTGTATTAAGCTAAATTTAATTAGTAGAATTATTGTTTTCATAAAAATTACATTGAGAGTTTCAAACTTTGAAACTACTACTTTTAATAACTTAAAATAAAATTAAAAATTCTGAATACTTAGATTTATATTTTGAATTTAAATAAAAAATAAATACTGAACCCCAAGATTTGTTTTCAGTTGCAGAACCTGCTTTGTGGTCAATATGAAACTAAACTGTGTAATAAGTAATGATCTGTTAAATTTTTATTTTCTACCATATTTAAATGATAATAAAAAAGCAAAAGTGATGGACATGGATGGGGGTCAAAGAGCATGTTACAACCTTTTTACAGAGTTATATTCAAAATTTAATTAAACAACTTTATTATCGATGTATGTCAATAAGCGTGGCATGAAAATATAGTATATATAATTTACATTTGTACATTATCAAAGTTATAATTTATTAATTTTAAAAGAAAATGTTTAAGTACATTCTCAATCTGCAATTCTCAGTCACATGGCTTGAAGGCATTATGATTTCTCATTTAGATTTTTTTTCTCTTCCCTTCTTTGTTAGTTTGTTATGAATTTCTCACAAAGCTACAC